GTTGGTGTTGTGGTGTGGCAGGTGAAGCTGCCACCTGCCACACCAGCATCCCAGCTCAGAGCACTGGTTAGAATCCTGGTTGCTTCTGCTTCACTTCCAATCTAGGTCCCTGCCAACGTGCCCTGGAAGGCAGTGGAAGATGGCCCAAGAACTTGGGCCCTTGGATGGAGTGCCTGCCTTCAGCATGGCCAGGCCATTGCAACCATTTTAGGAGTGAACCAGCAGATGGAAGATCTCTCTCTCTCCCCACCCCCATCTCTGTCACTATGCATTTCAAATAACTTAAATATAAGTTTAAAAAATGAATAAAAATGACAAATCAATCCAAAATGACTACCATTTTCAGGATATTATGTGCCAAGTGTTAGAAGTATGTTATAGGGCTGGCGCCGCGGCTCACTAGGCTAATCCTCCACCTAGTGGCGCCGGCACACCAGGTTCTAGTCCCAGTCGGGGCGCTGGATTCTGTCCCAATTGCCCCTCTTCCAGGCCAGCTCTCTGCTGTGGCCCGGGAGTGCAGTGGAGGATGGCCCAAGTGCTTGGGCCCTGCACCCGCATGGGAGACCAGGAGAAGCACCTGGCTCCTGCCTTCGGATCAGCGCGGTACACTGGCCGTAGCGCACCAGCCGTGGCGGCCATTGGAGGGTGAACCAACAGCAAAAGGAAGACCTTTCTCTCTCTCTCTTTCACTATCCACTCTGCCTGTCAAAAAAAAAAGAAGTGTGTTATACAAATTATCTTACTTAATCCTTACAACAGCCTAATGAGGTAGGTGGTTCCATTATCCCCATTTGTTTTTTGTTTTTTTTTGTTTTTTGACAGGCAGAGTGGACAGTAAGAGAGAGAGACAGAGAGAAAGGTCTTCCTTTGCCGTTGGTTCACCCTCCAATGGCCCATTTGTTTTTAAGATGAGAAGACTACAGGCTCATAGAAAACAATTAGCTCATCTAATCACAGGATCTTTCTGATCCTTTGGGTTCCATCAGACTTCAAGATTCTTGTCTTTGCCACTGCAACTCTCTGCCTTCCCCAAATATGTCATATAATGTTCCCAAACATACTACTGCCAAACTCAATATCTGTAACAACCTCAGAGTTCCACAACTAGTCAGGTCTGCTGCCCTCATCTGTGCCATGCTTGTTTCAGGCTCCTGAGTTTTGCTCACCCCACAACACAAGCCACAGCTCTCTTCTTCTTCCCTACCCCAGGTATTCAGCCCCTGGCCACCCAGGCCATGTCCCATTTACTAACCATTGTCACAAAAATGCCAGGCTACTCCCTCCCTTCCCTTCCCTCAGTTCTTCCACAAACTGTCATGTTTGCAAGTCTTGTTGCCTCAACTAAGATCGTGTTCTTAAAGACAAACACTGGTCTTTAAGCTTCCTTTGTTTGCCGTATCATTACCAGTAATGGAGGCACATAAAAGAGGCGTTCAATCACCATTTGCTGGCATGAAGTAAGTATATACAACCATGTCAGAATATGGTGAGGTTTTCAAGGGTATTCCATGGTCTATCCATGTCTAACTACATGTGTTGTTCAGTAACTAGCCAATTTCAGATACTTATTAAATGTGTTATTCTAATAACAGTAATAACTCCTGTATTCTCATTTCTGCTACTTCATTTCACCAAAAAAATAAATAAATAAAATCAATCAATCAACAATTACAAATGACAAGTCTCAGAGCTTCGGGTCACCATGCCTCCCAATTACCATCTCAACTTTGAAAATCCAATTAGTGATCCTTTAATTGATCAGGGAAAAAGGAAATTCTTCTTTGTGTCCTGATCATCTTCTCTTTTTTGCTTGTCGTGACCCTCAATGATTCACCTGTCACTGTCTTACCTTTTCTTTTTTAATCCTAAAGCTTTTTAGCCGGCGGCACAGATCACTAGGCTAATCCTCTGCCTTGCGGCACTGGCACACCGGGTTCTAGTCCCGGTCGGGGCGCCGGATTCTGACCCGGTTGCCTCTCTTCCAGGCCAGCTCTCTGCTGTGGCCCGGGAGTGCAGTGGAGGATGGCCCAAGTGCTTGGGCCCTGCACCCCATGGGAGACCAGGAGAAGCACCTGGTTCCTGGCTTCGGATCAGCGCGGTGCGCTGGCCGCGGCGGCCATTGGAGGGTGAACTAACGGCAAAGGAAGACCTTTCTCTCTGTCTCTCTCTCACTGTCCACTCTGCCTGTCAAAAAAAAAAAAAAAAATCCTAAAGCTTTCACCGCCAATTCTATTTCATTTGTCTAAAGCTGAGTTTATCAATCGTGTGTGGCCCCATTCACCCAGCTGCGGCACCCAGCATTAAGGGACCACGTTTCAGATTCACCGTGCTACAGACACTGTCACTTGTCTCCTACATTGGCTTTAAGATTTGGACCATAGCCACGCTTCACTATAAATTAAATAGCTGGAATGACAGATGGTTCTTTCTGCCACATATTCCATCACAGTGGAGGAGGCAGAAGAGAACAAACCACAAATAGGATCCCTCAGGAGGTCGGGAGCCTGGTGCTGATGGCGAGGAGGCTGGGCAGGCTGGGGTCAAGGTGAATACTCTAAAACCTCAGCCAAGTGCTTCACCATCTCTGCTGACCACAGCTCAGGTCTGCACACTAAGCCCACAGGCTCCTGTCTCTACAACAAATGGAGACAAATGAACATGTCTGCGCTTGCCCACCCTGGAGTCTCCTCCCATGCCTGGTCAAAGCAGCTGGACACAACCATTTACAAAGGAGCTTCAAGTTCCAGCTCCACCTTGGGCAAATCAACTGAAACTCGGTTTCCTTGTTGCAAAACAGATAATGAGGCTCCTCCTATTTTCTTCAAAGGGTGGGAAACAGACAAAACCAGTCACAGCAGACAGGAAAGCAGTTTGAAAGAAACTGGAAGTCTCATGCAATAGAGGGCATATTAGTGTGGCACTGAAATGCACTTCCCTCAAAATGTGAGCCACAAAGAAAAACTCCTTCTCCCCTGAGGTAACTGCAGCCCTTCCCACTTCAACTCTTCTCACGGACACTGTGACCCGAACGCCTTTGCTATCTGCAGAATCCTGTCCCGATCAGTCTTGATCAGCAAACTCTCATCAATCACCACAGCATTCTTCGCCACGACTCACTTGACACTTGCTTTTTGTTCCGTTTAGTTCACAAACCTCATCTGCTGAGCCAGATCTCTAAGTAGGAGCGTGCATTTAAAGCGAAGCTGAAACTAGATTCACAGACACTTTTCTCAAAACCGCACCATGTAAGCATAAGGTGGACAAAGACCACACATCGTATTGAAGGAAAGAGTTTTCATTTTAAAGGGATAAAATCCAGATTTCCTCTGAACAGCCAGCCTCCTTATATCAGAATAAGCCAAAGGCAACGAACAAAAATACAATTCCATGCACAACTTTTCAGACCAGCATCTTCTAAATGAAGAGGGAAATACTCTTAGTTGAAGACTAGAAATTTTCCTTAACGGATAAGCCCCTCTTGTTCATTTGGATTCCTACTTTATTCAGCTCAAACCATTTCTGTAATACAAGATTACAGTATTGCAAAGGTGTAGCAGGAAAGCCCAGGAAAAGCCTCTGACGAAAACAAAGGCAAGTCCACATCTCCATAATCGAAGGCGTTGCTGTAGCTACCTTGGACTTGTCGAGCCCCAGGAGTCTGGGGACACATGCAATCAATATCAAGTCGGCCGCGTAACTGCATGGCTCATTATTGCAATACAACAAGCTCCACCTTATTCATAACAGCAAGAAAAGCCACCCTCCAATCTCCACCGTGTGTAAAGGCAGCAATGTTCCAACACCGGGAAACCTCACTGGGTTTCGAGTTTCTGTGAATAGACGCTACAGCGGGCTGTGGCTGGCAGCCACACACCAGCCAGTCAGTGACTGCAGATGCTCGGCTTAAAGGAGACTCCCCTGGAGCCCAA